ATATTGTTCCTCTCTCTTATGGTGACTGTTGTATAATGTATGAAATACATTTTTTTCTCTATATTGTTTTTTACTGTATAGATGTTAAATGTTAACTGAGAACTGGGTGCAGGTTTTTGTAAGATTTTCTTTTAATAATAGTTCTCTGTGAAACACGACAGAATTTCACGCTGTCACTTTGTTTTGTGAATTACCATACAAACCCTCCCTTTAACTGAAGCGCTTTTAAAATTTCACGCTCTTAGTCGACCTTGAAGAAAATATTTCTCTGCTTTATTTGATCAAGATAGGTTGAAAAGGAATAGTAAAGGCACAGATCACAAAAAGCTTACATTTTTTATGGTGAAAGCATTCTTTTCTTTTTCTCCCTGCTTTCTTGCAGACGAGTTTGTGACAAATGCTCATTAAAACCTGTCTTTTTTAAATGTTTTATGCTGCTCTTTAAAATGCCAGCGGCAGTCACCTTGACAGCACCATTGCCTCTCCAGTGCTGTTGGAAAATGCCTGGTTTTGGATTTGTTTTCAGTGGGTGGTAATCACAGTGTCTGTAAATTTGTCTTTATAAATTGGGGTTTACTATATCCTGGATGCACCCCTGTAATATATTAGAAGGTGTTTTACAGCATAAAAATACCAGTTACACACAAAAACACTTAATCATCCTTTTTCACTTCACTATGTTAGAAGTACATCTAAACCAGGGGTGTCAAACTTAAGGCTTGGGGGGCAGACTCGGCAAAGAGTCCCATCCCACCTTGGAAAATGTGAATGTGACCCTATTGTTATAGGTTTTCCTTTTGATAAACAGCGCAGCCCAATTGCTATTTATGGTACAACAAAATAATAATATAACAGATAAACAAATAAATGACAGAAAAGTTCCCGTTTTTTATCTGCTATAGAAATTTCTCTTTGAAAAATGGGAGAAAAAAGCGGAAGTTTTTTGTAAATTAACAAAAACGGTATATTTTGAACTACCAGAACTTTTTTCTCCAATTTTACAAATTTATCATGTCGTTTTTACTGTTCCGGCCCACTCCGTACTCTAGCGATCGGTGTGAGAACCGGGCAGAACACTTACATTCTCTTCCACTAGAGGGCAGTACACCTACCAGCTCTAATTAAATGTGTCGCCAACTGCCAGTAAAACAGACGAAGAAGAAATTACACGCTAGCCATGTTCTGAGTGAGACATGGCAGGGCGTTAAATATTTGAAAAGAAAAAGTAGTCCTGGAGAAAATTCCGACCCAGGTGAAAACCATTGTTTGGTGGTGTGCCGTGTGATTTTTCTAATGTGAAATAGGTGCTGTGGCTCCAAAAGGTTGGGAAACACTGGCCTAAACATTATATTCAGGCTGATGTAGATACCGCATGAAGTTGCTTTTTTCATAAAGTTTCACCCACTGAATCATATTGTCCATACGTCTTAGGTTATATTTTTTGTTTTGTTCTTTTGCACACTGATGTAAGGTGACCACTCATTGCATGCCAGAATTGTGCTGCACGGATAAAATGCAGATTTTGGATCTCATCCAGGGAGGTTCACAAACTTTTGTCATTACTGTTCTTGAGTGCATACAAATGCTAATTAATACATAATTTCAGAGCCATATGGTGTAATTTACTCCGTATCGAGCTGGATGGTTTTGAGCTTTCATGTGAAACAGCTGTGAACATTAGAGTCGCATCCTTTGTGTTTTTTGTTCAATGTGCTGAAAAACTATAACAGCAGACGTTAGCATTCTTCCATCTCGAGACCTCACATAACATGCTTTGAAATATTCAGGAAAAACCAAGAAGCTTTGTTGCTGTTTGACTTCACTGCTGTGCATCTGACTCTACCAAGGAGATCACAAGGTTGTCTTAGTGGATTCGTGTTTATCATTTTAGTTGTGATCATCGCTGGCATCAGCGAGTGTTCTTAGTGCATCTTATAGTATGTTAGAGAGAGCTGCTGTTCGGAACCATTCATTCAACCTGATTTGCTGTACAGAAATCGTGAGATAAAAATTCTTCCTGTCCTTGAAAGAAATGAGTGCTGAGTGACAGGCTGCTTTTGATGCCAGAAATGAAAGCTATCATAAAGCTGATATCTCACTGCCGGGGGGGAGTTTGTCTTGCCTTGCTGCCATTTTAATTGACTGCTGAGGCAGCAATTTTAGTACAGTGCTGTGTAAAAGTCCTGAACCAACCCTCATTTCTTTATACTCTGCAAGGAAAATGGGCAGAGGTGGCAAAAGTACAGACATTCTGTACTTAAGTATAAGTACAGATACTAGTAAAAGTTGTAGAAGTTGAAGTACTGATTCAACTATTTTACTCAAGTGAAAGTAAACGTATAGGCTGTGAAATGTACTCGAAGTACAGAAACCAAAAAGTAGCTCTTTGGAGGACGTTTCTACCTGCTATTTTTGTGCAACAAAAACCTGAGTCTTGTCGAATATTTATATAATAATAAAATAATAATAAAGTTTCATTCTAATAAATGTACCCAGCTTACATCAGGTACGTGGAACACAAGCAGAGAAAAAAAGGAAAATAAAAAAAGTAGTTCTTTTTAAAATAAAAGTAAAAAGTTCCCAAAAAATAACTACTCAAGCAAAGTACAGATACTTGAAAATTCTTCTTCTGTTTGGTTATGACCACCTTTATTCTTCAACACAGCCTGAACTCTCTTAGGAAAACTTTCTTGTTTCGTCAGGAATAACTCTCCAGTCTTCTTGAAGGACATTCAAAGCTCTCCTTGGGATGTTGGCTGTGTGTAGCTCGGACTCTGGGGAGGCCAGTCCATGACTGTCGTGTTTTTCTATTGCATGTTAGATCAAAACATGACAGAACTTTTCTGTGTTCATAATTTAATCGATTTTGACAAGATCCCCAACACCTCTGGCTGAAATGCAGCCCTAAATCCTAACAGAGGCTCCACTCTGTTTTCCACGTGGCTAACGACACCGATCTCCTGACCTCCTTCATACATATTGACGACAATTTGGACCGAAATTTTAAATTTGGATTCATTACTCCATAAGACCTGTTTCCACTGATTTTCATTCTTGATCTTGTGATTTGACACACTTCAGGCTTTTCTCCCTGCTTCCCTTCCTTAATGGCTTCTTGACAGACACCCTTCTGCTCACACCATTTTTGATGAGGCTTCAGTGAACGGTAGATGGATCTCCTGAAGGGCCTAATGAATCTTTCAGGTCCTGTGTCAGGTCTTTGCTGGATTTATTTTCCTATGTCTTAAGGACATGCATTTCAGATGACTGAAAGACATCAGCTATATATATATAGTTTTCAGGGTTTTTTTTTTAGACCTGCCACTTCTTCCTTTATCCTCCACTTGTCCAGTTTCTTCAAATTATTTTAGGACACACTGCACAGCACGCCAAGATATGCCCAATTTTCAGCTAATAGATCTATGTGACTCACCTTGTTGGTGCGAAAATACAGTTTATTCCTGGCAATTTATGTTTTGTAGATTCAACTAAAGAAATGGGAACAGAGTGTTTTAGTAACAGGCTGCTAGCACTTAAAAATATAATTTAAAAGTTGTCTGTTATGTCTCGACACAACACTGGTTCGTTCCTTGAGTCAGATGTCCTTTCTCATAGGTGAGAGTTAAGTCACTTAACAAACAAAAAACCTTCTTCTGAAAATGGTCAGGTCAGGACTGAAAAACACTGATCATACAGTACACTTCATTTTATTCACTAAAATTAAATTGTTTTGGGGGTTTGAGGTCTTGATGTATTTTGGAAATGTATTGAAATATTAAACATGACAACACATTGATTGAGCTTTCAAATATCATGTTATCTTTATCATAACGAATGTGACATATTTGTTTAATCTAATTTATGTGTGTGTTTTTAGAATCACTGGAAGCTAAAACCCAATTAATTAGTCCTAACATGCAGCACGTGTAGGTTCTTGGTTCTTTTGTGATGTTGTTTTGCACTTTCACATATGAATTTTAATGTATAAAGCTACCTTGGCTGTTTTCTCCTTTCTTCTTGTATGGTTTATTGTTGTTATGTTATTATTATTATTATTATTATTATACAATATAGTTTATTTATATATATATTTATATTATATTATTGTTGCCTTGTACTGTCAGTTTTCTCTACAGTCTAATGTCATGTTTTGACCCACTGTCATGTGATTTGTGCCACTTCACTTTATATCCTAAAGGAAAATCTTCCCCTCTCATCTTTCATCCCCTTCTCCTCCCTTCTATCCTCTCGTCTCCTGTTTCTCTCCATCCTCTATGCTCCCTGTCGGCTCTCCCTTCCTCCCTGTCTTCCTCTGTGTAGCCTGTAATGATCTGGTGGCCTCAAGCAGAGACAGGAAGCCCAATGCTTTGGTCCAGGTGGCTGTCATAGATCCCCACAAGCAGCACCTCGTGTCTCACGCCTGCACAGAGATAGTTGAGGTAAGGCATCACACGCACACGCGCCATCCTCTTGCTTGTCTCCGGCCTATGATGTTTGTTGTTTTGCCGTGTCTCTGGGTCACCAAGTCTCCGATGGTATTCTCTCCATCGCTGTCTGCCCTCCTTTCTATCAACCTTGCTTTTCCATCTGACTCACTGAACTGGAACAGACAATGAGCCCTAACCTTCTATTTCTAGTGACAGCTGAGTCCAGACATTCACATGAGTGACTGTGTTGCGTGTCAATCATGCATTTACAGTACATATACAGTATGCGTTTGTGGGTTTAATTGTGTGTGGGTAAAACAGTGAGAGTGTTTTGCGCTCTTTGACCTCTTTAAATTCTTCTTCTTTTACTTCCACCGTGACAGTGTTGTTGCTGAGACAGCAGCCACATGAGTGTTTTCTGGGCAGCAACAGCTGCCCCCGTCCCACTTTGGAACACCCACCTACACACATGTGCAGAGGCCAACGCACACACACAGTCCTTTTTTTCTCTTCTCCTTCCTCATATGAGGGCAAAGTTTCCAGGCGCATAGAAAGGAGACACTATTTCCCTCCTAATCCAGTAAAGCTAAATTAGCATAACCGTCTCTTTCAAAGACTGATTTCAACTGCTTTTCCCCTCAGTCAAGGGAGCAGCAGAGCATGTGTGTTTGTGCATGTGTGAGTGGAAAGACAGGATGTGGTAGGACACTGTATGCTGGCTCAGCCAGCTCTGCAGACACTCTGAAGGCTGCTGGAGTTTTGATTTCATGGCCGTAATGTTCAGGATTTGGAGTATGATCTGAGGATATGAACTGCTTTTGTCTTCACAAAAAAAAAAGGGTACGTACCCATTCATTGTGATTTTATAAGTGGGTTTTAAAAGAGAAGTTTGCACCCTTAGAAGAAAGTCTGGTAGATTTGCTGTCCGTATATTCACTTTATTAGTCTGGATTGTGTCATAAAAGTGAACATTTCTTCTGTTACATGAACCAGTGTATTTAGCATTTCCCCCAGAAACCGGATCAATCAGAAAACCAATATTAGTGTTATTTGGACTCAGACTTGAAGCCAAACTGAGAAGAGAATATGTCTCCTTGAAATAATCTTTGATTGAAGTTTCAATGGAGCAAGGGATTCTTGCCAGTAGGCTTTCACACTTAATACAGAAACAAATGTTTATTAGCTTGTATGACCAAAGGCAGACCTGTGTGTGTGTGTGTTTGTGTGTCTGTGTGTGTGTTTGTGTGTGTGCAGGCATGCAGGCACCGGGGAGCTTACTCTATGTGTATTATTTGAAGACAGCACTTGTGTTTTCACTGTTGTCACATTCCCAGGATGCTTTCTCTCAACAGCTGCTGTCGGCTTTGCGAGCGCCGGGCCTGGCTGGCTGTGTGAAATCTTGCTCGTGTAATATGTGTGCTATCATGCTGTATGTGATAGAAAGATTTCATTTAGAAGATAAATGATGGAGCATGCCAGGTGCTACAAAGCCTCTCTGGTCCCGCCCGTCAATCGTGCTCAGGTCAGGGGAAAAATGTTCTTTGTTTTATGAAAGCTATATGATCACGCTTTATGTCTCACCACTCACATGTTTCAGAGGAAGTAAGAACAGGGAGTCGCAAAACACACGAGGAACAATTCCAGGTGTTTTTAAGAGCTCTTTGGAGCCATTGTTGGGATCACTACTCAAGAAAAGTAATGGATTACATTACTCATGTTTCTTAAAAAGAATGCAGCACATTACATTTTTTTATAATTCAAGTATTTATTAGATTTTGCATTTTATAAAAGCAAATACAAAGATGCAGCAACCAAAAGCAAGAAGCAAACAAACAAAAAAAACAAATGTTGTATTAAGCTCAAATGTCCAAGTCAGGTAGACATGTAGGTGCAAAAATTGTCCCACTGTTCCACCGCAGCTTCCGTCACATGATGTAACTTTCCCAACATCTTTTCGCACGCAACATTCCCAATCAGTCTTTCTTTCCACATTTTAAGCGTTGGAGTATGGGAGTCCTTCCAGTGTTCCAAAATGACACGGGCACATGTTACCAATGCAGTACTTAACACTCTAAACTGGTGTTTATTTAATTGCGGCACCTCTCCTTTGTCTCCTAGTAGACATAATTTAGGTGATCTGGGTAGGTTACAAAGTGTCCACCCCTGCAAATAATTCAGTACAGTGTTCCAAACTGGAAAAACCAGCGGGCATTCCCAGAGGGCATGTATCAGAGTACCTTTGGCTTGCTGGCATTTCCAACACAAGTCATCTCTACCAATCCCCATTCTATACAGCCTTGAAGGAGTATAATAGTATCTGTTAAGAATTTTGTATTGAATAAATTTCCCCCTGGCTTCCCTAATGTATAATCCATTGTTCGACAATATAGAATCCCATGTACCTTCATCCATTGTACGCCCTAGATTCCTTTCCCATGCTTTTTTCAGGCTCTTATTTATATTATTTTTAATCCATGGGCAAATATTATTGCAGCACATTACTTAATTACTTGCCAGAGAAGTAATTTGTTACACTAGTCACTATATTACTTTCTTGTTACTCTATAAATTGACCTGAAACCCATTGTCTCATAATTAGCATTTAACTATATAAACTTACAGGATACATTCCCACACACCAACACAAATCCCTATCCTAATGATAACATGCATACAATTTTTTCATTTAGTTTTTAAGTATGAACACAAAGCAAAGATTAAAACCAGCACAAAAAGACTTTAAAGCGATCGCCACAGTGAGTCTTTGCTAGAAACATGAACAGGTGTAAATGGAGGCCCCAGCCTGACTGCTCATCACTGCTTTTGTTACCTGTTGAAGATCAGGCTGTCTGATGGTCTGTGGTCACTCAGCTCGAACGTTACTCTGGGTTCTTGGCTAGCTTAGCGTTAGGATGCTGGTGCAGATGCTCGCAAAGAGGCGAAGTTGTGTTAGCAGCATAACGCGGCTTCTGTCTGTCCTGCATGCAGTTTCCACTTTACCGTCGCACTCATGTCTTTTTTAGTGCATGTTTGTTTGGTGCACCTTTGTAAGTAATGACATATTTGTAATGCAGTTACTGCTGAAAAAATGCAGTGTGTTTACAGTAACACATGACTTTGTATCTCATTACTCCCAACACTGTATATAACTGTAAGAGAGAGAGTCACAAAAAGAACAAAAACATTGCAACCTGAAACAATAGAAAGATAAAAAGTGGGCTCAAATGGATTGCATTGTTTTATTTACATCCCAACATTTTTGTAACTGGGGTTGTAGTACAGAACCGGGACTCGGTATTTTAACTTGACCCATTTCGTCTCCATAAGCAGGTTTATGTCTCAGTGTGGATACTGCAGCTTAACCTGCGGTTGGTAAAACAGAAAAGCGACAGCTTAAATGCTGAAAAAATGGTTTTTGGTCACATTGTATTTGAAGCTACCAACACACACATACAGACACAGAAAAATGCCATCTGGTATTTTACCAAATGTTAAGAGAAAGGAGATGTCCTTTTTGTAGAAATTGTAAGTCCTTTGTTTTCCACATGTGCATGCTTTCTCTGTGCTGAGCCTGACACAAGAGACAGAAATTGGGATGGAAAAAGTTGCATTTTCTGCCAATCCCTAATACTTCTGTGTAGGAAAATCCCTTTCCTTAAACGTGGGCAATGGGTCCAGAAGTGGTGGTACTTGAGGGGATTTGACGTCATGCAAAGGCAGCGGATAAAACAGCCTTTGATGTCAGGCTAGTCAAGCAAAGAACTCCCTGCCTGGAACAAGTCCAAAAGTCTACTCTCTCTGTGTATATGTAATTATGAATGGTCAAGGAAACTCGACCCAGAGTACTTGCACTTCCCCCTCTGCCCAATCGCGCACAAACACACACACACCCTCTTAATGGCCTAAATTGGTTATTCCACAGAGATTTGCAACCCAGACTGACAAAAAGACAAGAGAGGGGCAGCTGTCTCCCATAGCATATGTTGACCACTTGTATGACAGCCCGGCTCACTTCTTTGTGTAAATGGAGACAGCATTACCACTTTAGCTCATCTCAGCCCATCAGCAGCTCTAAGAAGATTCAGCTGTAGCCGAGGCTGCCAAGCATGCTGGTAAGTCTGAATGAGGCATATTCAGCGTGCCAGAGAGGGAGGTGTAACGGATTATGTCTGTGTACCTGCACATTCGCGAGTATAATGGTCAAGTCTGTCTTTTTGTCAGTGTATAGTACAGATAAGATCCCCATTTGCTCTGGGCTCAAAGCAGTGCATTGATTCCACTGCGTGTGTACCTACTGTGCTCAATCAGGCTGTGTGTTTAGAGCGTCGGTGTACACAAACCACACAGCTTCATGGCTGGGTGGCAAAATGGCACCAGGCATCAAGACTAATATTACCGCGTCTAGAGACATAAAATCAGAAGCAATAGACTTGTTTTATTTCCCCTCCGTCAGCCTGGCGTAGATTTCTGAAGGATCAGCGGGGTTAGTGGTGTGGTGAGGAGGTGGTTTTTGCGCGTTCCGTCTGTGTGTGTGTGTCTATGTGTGTGAG